ACTTAATGTAATAATGTAGCCACCCGTGATGACAGAAGCCCTGCAGTATCTCGGCAATTCTGAAGTTCATCAATAGATGGTGGTAGAAGCATATCGTTACCGTGCCGCTGAGTTTCCAGCCCCACGTTGAACTGCTGCTGAGAAATGGCAGCGCTGGGCAGCAGCGGGAGGCTGCCCCTGCCCATGCCCCTTTTTTTTTGGGGATGACCATCTTCTGGGACAAAAGTGAAAATGGTTCTATTTTCCTGAGGCCAATACAGCACCAGGACAACAGCATCCTTTCAGAAGGTGGACGACTCGCTGCTGACGGCGTTCCCATCGCAACCCATCGGGGAGAGCCGGGGATGACCATCTTCTGGGACAAAAGTGAAAATGGTTCTATTTTCCTGAGGCCAATACAGCACCAGGACAACAGCATCCTTTCAGAAGGTGGACGACTCGCTGCTGACGGCGTTCCCATCGCAACCCATCGGGGAGAGCCGGGGCGAGGGGGCTGCGGTGTCACCTCTCCCTTTCCCCCCGCAGATTACAAAGTGGGATGAACCTGCAGATTTGCTTCGTGAACGACAGCGGCAGCGACAAGGACAGCGATGCCGACGACAGCAAGACAGAAACCAGCCTGGACACGCCGTTGTCGCCCATGGTAGGTCCGAGAACCCATCCCACAGAGGCTCCGGAGCATGGAAGACATGAGGCCATCCCTAATGGAAGCTGATAAAGAGCTGATCCTATTAAACCAGCAACACTAAACCCCCGAGCAGCATCTTCAGCCATCAATAAAAGAAATGCGAGATGCTGAGGGGCAGATAGCAGATTGCCCCTGGCTTGCACAGAGCTGCTGTAGAGCAGATGCCTTCGTGTGAAGGTGTTCCTTCTTCCTTCCTTCCTCCCATTCTTTTTGGCTCTGATAATTATCAGGGCAGTAATGGATATGACGCGGTATCAGCTCCCACCAGCTTTCCTCTCCTCTCTTTTCCTTTGTGAATATAAGACCGCGGCCCCAGGTGTTTTCCTCCAGCTTAACCAGTCTGTGCCTTCAACACCTATTGATCTGGTTGGCTCCTCTTCCCATCTGAAGTGCTCGAGTTGCTACTAGTAATCAAGGGAGCCTATTTGGGAATTACTCTGATTTTTAAAGATAATCTTGTGGATTAAAATTTTTTAAAAATCCATGCTCTTCACCTTTTCTGTCGAAATGATACCACTTGTACGTGTACAAAAATGTTAGTTAACAGCAAACTTTGCTGTGGCACGGTTGGGGCGACGGTGCTGTAACGGCTGCGTGTCTGCTTCCCTAGAGCAAGCAGAGCTCGTCCTACTCCGACAGAGACACGACGGAGGAGGAGTCGGAGTCCCTCGACGACATGGACTTCCTCACCAGGCAAAAGAAACTCCAAGCTGAAGCCAAAATGGCCTTGGCTATGGCAAAGCCCATGGCCAAAATGCAGGTCGAGGTGGAAAAGCAGAACAGGAAGAAATCACCGGTAGCGGATCTTGTAAGTGGGAGCCGTGGGATGGCGCAGGGGATGACACCAGCCCTTCTGCTGTTTGCTTTGCTTGTCGAGACGCGGCCAGCGGCCAGCAGTGCTCGTGCACGGTGCTTGTAGACACGCAGAGGAGCAGTGGAGATGGGGGCCGTCAGTCAGGAGTTGAAGGGTTGACATGGGTCGTCTTATCGGGGCGTTACAGGAGCGGGACGGATGCAGGGAATGAGATGATGAAGCGTGAAGGATGTTACTGCCTTGAGGCTGGCAGCGACATGGTGCTGCTCATCCTTAAGGCGTAGTCTGCTCAGCCCATCTCATCCCGAGCTGGAGCATTCCCGCCTTGGTGCGGCACTGCTCGCCATAGCCCTCGCCTCCCCTTGCGTCAGTCCAGCACTGATGCTGGTAGATCTGAAGACTTGGGTCAAACGTTGTGTAGATGTTTCAGCTCGTTTTGGTACTCTCAGTGTGGTCCTTGGTGCAGGCTTGTGAGAGGGGGACACCTGCAATGGAAACTGCGCTATTCAGGAGTACAATTAGAAGAAAACAGTAAAAAATTTCTTTTCAGCTGCCACATATGCCTCATATAAGTGAATGCCTGATGAAGAGAAGTTTAAAACCCACTGACCTAAGAGACATGACTATCGGGCAGCTACAAGTGATAGTCAATGATCTCCACTCACAGATAGAAAGTAAGTGATACTTGTGTAATTATTCTTTGGTATGTCCCGTTTAATTAAAAACAGTTCTCCAGGATACACATAAAAATGTTGATAAATGTATAATAACATGAATGTACAGAAGAGGCACGCCACAGAAGCTGGAGAGGGAGTTCTCTCCAGATTTGGCTGCTTCAGCCTTTGTCTTTCCTTTTTTCAGTTTCTCCTAAAGCGCTGGCTTGGCTCCCTAAGAGCGGGGGGCTGTAGTATTGTGCCAGTTACGCCCCACTTGTAACTCAAAACCTGGTCGGGTAAAAATACCCTTGGGAAGTCTGCCTGTCCTGGAAGCAGTTGCCGTTCGTGGCTTTATGGCTGCGTCTTCATGTGACGCTATGCCATGGCATCAAAACCATCCATAAGTGGAGAAATTCAGCAAACATCCCGGGGTAAATCCACTCTTGCCATGCTTCTATGTGTTTCATGGGTCTTTGCGTTTGCCCGCAGGGACAGTGCCCCACCGCCTCATCTGTCTTTGCTCTCCCCAAGAGATCCAGGGATTTTTTTCCCCCAAGGGATCTCCATCTTCCAATTAATTAATTAATCGTTTGGGGAGTAGACTTCTACGGTGGCTGTAGGTCAAAAAAAAGGTTGGTTGGGAGCTGCCGTGCTGCTCCTTCCCTACTCGCGTTGGTGGATTGGCATCCCTTCTGGAAGCAGCCTGCCGAGGATGCAGAGCTGTGCCGCTGAGTCGTGATTTGTTATTTTGTGCTGCGAAGGCAAAAAAAAAAAAACCACGCTCATTAATTAGCCTCACTTTAGAAAGCACCCAAGTATGGGAGCATAAATGTTAGCATCGAGCTTGCTTCCCAAAGAGGCGTGAAGCCGGTGTAGCGGTATTTAAGCAGTGTAAGCCCCAGCTCTGGCAGTGGGTGGCGGGCAGGTACAGCCTCCAGCAGCGCCCGTGCCGGCCGGTGAATTTTTCACATGATCCTTTTTGTTTTCTTCTTCTTCCCCGCTCTTTGACACAACCCCGAGCAAGAATCCAATGTCCCGAACATCCCTCCTGAGCAGAGGGGCTGGCTTAGGAGTAACCCCAAGCCAGGACGGGTGGGCAGCAGCGTGTTCTGCATTGCCACGGGGAATTAAAAAGCTAAACCTGAGGCTGCCCGGGCGAGCGGCTCAGCCGCTTTCTGTAGCGCGTTTCTTGCTCGGGGTTATTGCCCACAAGTGAGCGAAAGCTGAACCAGCAAGACTCCAAGCACTGAGAAATTGATCTTTATTTTTGCTGCTGCATTTAGCTATTTCAAGAGAGGAACTGCTTGCACGCAGCGGCAAGGGGCTTAGTGTTCATCCTAGGAAACATGCATCCTTTGGGGAGGTGCCTCCTGGTTCTCCTCACCAGCTTATGTGGGGAAGGCGGTGGGGAAGGATGACGTACGGGTCCTAAACCGGGGTTCCTTGGGACATCACAAACTCACCCCCTTTCTCCCCGGCACCAGGCTTGAACGAGGAGCTGGTGCAGCTGCTGCTCATTCGGGACGAGCTGCACACGGAGCAGGACGCCATGCTGGTGGACATCGAGGACCTGACCAGGTGAAGGAGGCTCCTCGGGGTTTTTCTCTCTCCTGGCAGGTCCCAGCTCGCCATCGGCAGCGTGTAGGGGTTTTCTTTTAGCAGAATTTCAGTAGGAAAGCCTTTGCCATCAAAGGTAGGTAGAAGGTAAGGGGGCTGGCTGCCAGGCGCGGGTTTCTCTGCCAAGTGCTGCGTGTGAAGAGGGGAGCAGGGCTGAGCAGGACGCTGCTCTCTCCTCCAAAAGAAGAAATCAAGGCACTTGTGTTCTGGAGACCGTCAGCGGCTTTCAAGAGCTCCCAAACACGGGTGCTGGTGCATGCTCTTGAATTCGTGTTTCCCTTTCCGAAGCCTGGGAAGGAGCGATGCTGCAAAGGTGCAGTGCATCCAAGGGAAATCCAAGGGGCTCCCTGTGTCTCCCCGTCCCTCTCACCGGGGTGAGCTACAGCCTGGCAGGAGGATTTCTGAGTCTCTTAAATATTAACGTTCAATAGCCGATAAAATGGAAAGCCTTGCAGAATATAGGTGGGTTTCCTAAAGGACTCCATCTCCCGGGCGACAAGGCTTAAGAGGCATTTTCCTTTGAGATAACTAGTGATGCGCTGCAGAAACACTGAGAAGTATTGGAAGTTTTGGGGGGAAAAAAAGCTGAAAAAGATGATACTGGTTATTGTCAGTGGACGAGGACTGCGGTTTCAGAACCGAAGCATTAACCTTGCAAAAAATATGGCCTAAATTTGTTTCTATTTTAAAACATCGAGGTGCTGCAATAGCAGCTGGTTGAGATTTGACGGTGCTCTGCCTGGAAAAAGTTTCCACCAGCTGGGGTGGCCATGAGGGATTTGGGGAGCAGTTCTGCCCGCGGGGACGAGCAGGCAGGTTGTCACTTCTGAGTCTTGCAAGACACGGTTGCTGCTTCCCTTAATGAAGAGCAAGTGATGCAAGGGCGGGATTTGGGATGGGGCTGGAGATGGTCAGTAGGCAAACGCCAACGCCGCCTCGCATCTCTTTCTCCCATGCCTCGGGAAAGGCTTTGCTTCCTAGATGCAGTTAAGGGCAGTTTAGTAAATGAAATTACTTGGAAGTCTGGGGGCTTTGGTATGTGTTGGGGGGCACCGGCTCTCTCCACCCCAGCGTTGTTTGGGGGCGAACGCCCCATCCATCCCTGCGGGAGGGGAGGAAACGATCCCAGATCCGCTCCGGAGAAGGGTTTCCTCTCCCCTTCGCCCACCTCCCGGTCCCCTCCCGCCGGGAAGGAGCCGGGGCAGAGACCGCGCATCCCTCGCTCGGTGCTTGTTTTTCCCTCGGGAAGACGTGATTTTTGGTTCGCTGCCAGCCCGGTGCGGGTGCTGGCCCGTGGTTCGGGTTTCCACCTCCCCTCGGCGCAGGGAATAACGCAGCTTCTCTCCTTCCCCCAGACACGCCGAGAGTCAGCAGAAGCACATGGCAGAGAAGATGCCGGCAAAATGAACCCCGGGGCCCCGGGAGCAGAGCTGGAGCGAGACTTCATTTTGCTTCTGTGTGTGTCCAAGCGCTGATGTCCACGGTGGCGCGCAAGAAAAAAAACAGTGTTAGTCATTGACCATGTCTGAAGCTTTATGTCCGGTGATTGGCCTCTGCTTCTTAATTTATTTTAATTTTTTTACTCGTGCCACTAAATATCAGGCATTTTAATAATATTATTACGAAAAATGTACAGTACTTATAACATTATAAATCATGGGTGAGAAGAGAGGGTAGTTTAACTTTATTTTCGTTTGTTTAGAGATTTTCAGTTGAACGATATTTTACCATTGACTACTTTTTTATTCTTCACTGTAGTTTTAAAATAAAGAAACTGTACTTGACGGTGCTATACAAGTCAAAAAAATACATGCCTGCCTCGTAGTGAAGTTGTAGCTTTCAGTAATATGTATATTTTAATCAGTTTTCAACATTTTGTGAATGTTGACTACCTGACATTCATTTTTAGATGTGCTATTAACATTCGGTTGGATTCAGAGAGTTACCTTGAAAGTTTTATGTATAAATATGTAAAATAAAAATTTTAAAAATTGTTTCATATGATACGTCTTTTTGTTGCCTAGTGGTTGACTTTGGTGATGCACCAGTAATGTATTCCTTGAACTAAATGTGCAATTCCTGATTTGTCATCACCAGAAAGAGCCTTTTTTTTTTTTTTGCCGATCACATGAAATTACGGAGAGAAGACAGGATTTTTGTAGAGTTATTTATTTGTAAGTTCATAATGTATGTATGACATGGACTTAAGAGATTCTTCTATAATAACATTCACTGGGCCCTGATATTGTGACTATTGTTAGAATCAGCAGGCACATACCGTAGATGGTTTTTTTTATATTTTATTGTCTGGGCTAAATATTTAAATGACTCGCCAATGTCAGAAATAAAAAAAAAAAAATCTATGTTAAAAATCTAAGCAGCATATTAAATGTATTATATATGGTAATTGCTCACCTCTCTGCCTTTGGGCTGGGCTCCCCGTTAGTACCTGTGTGCATCAGCTGAGTGCTGGATGTGTCCTCGGACCGGAGGGGGGACACTGGGAGACTCACAGGTCTGTCCCCATCCCTCAGTCAGTTGATTTAATGCTGGGACAGCTCGGCCACCCCCCTTCCTAAGGCTGCCCGGCCGTAGCCAGCAGCAGACACACCTTGCACGCACCAGCTTTTTACATTTTAATTCTTTTTCCCTCGGGGGCAAATTCATCTTAGCGAAGGGTCTGGCTGATGAATTATTCAGGGTGTTTTCAGAAAAGCATGAGCTGCATTAAAATTTCATCCCCTGCCAAGAATGTATTTTAGTAGAGAAATCCTTCCCCCCCCCCACCTTTTTTGCAGAAAGTGCAGGTTATGGCAGCGCCAGCCCTCGGCGGGGTTTGCTGGGGCTGGGGGGGGGCTTGGTTTAACTTAGGCTTGTTTTTCCTTTCCCAGGAGTTGCTCCACAGGGTTTCCAGGGGACAGTCCCTGTCCCGCAGCCCCCGGGGGGGACCGTGTCCCCTGTCCCTGCCGGGGAGCGGTCGGCGGGGTTTGCTGGGGCTGGGGGGGGGCTTGGTTTAACTTAGGCTTGTTTTTCCTTTCCCAGGAGTTGCTCCACAGGGTTTCCAGGGGACAGTCCCTGTCCCGCAGCCCCCGGGGGGGACCGTGTCCCCTGTCCCTGCTGGGCAGCATCCCCGAGCGGGGAGCTGCGCCTGCCCCCAGCTTTTGCAGAAAGATGCTGGGAGGGGTTAGGTTGGAGAGCCCTCGCCTGCAGACCAGGGACGATGTAAACTCCTCTTATTTTGCTTTTTTTGAATCTATGCAGAAAAAAATAAATATATTGGGGGTGTTAGTTTCCCTGTAGCTCTCGGTTGGCTTGGTGCTGTTGCCTGCACGTGGGGAGACCTGCTGGGTTTTATATTTCTGCTCCGTAAAATGCCGTGTTTGCAGTGCTCTGAGGCTAAAACAGTCCCTGCGGGGCGCGGAGCTGCTGCCTCCATCAGAAGCAGCTGTGCGGGTATCGTGAGGATACCGCTGGATTTAAAGCATGAACAGCAGAAGCCCCAAATACAAAAAGTTTGCTCTCAGCTTTAAAAAAACAGAAAAAAAAAAAAAAAGCAAGAAAGCCCCCGGGTGCTCGCGGGGAACCCCGTGCCCTCCGCAGCCGCCCCCGGCATGGGTCCAGCTTGTGGGGCACCGGGGTGAGGCAGCCGGGTCGGGCTGGAGTTTCGTTCCTGCTAAGTGCCTTTAACTTGCTGAAGAGAACTAGTTATTCCGGTCACCTACCACTGGTTTTCCCCCTTACAGCCTTAGGGGATTGTTTTTTTTTTTTTTAAGAAAAAGCGTGTTTCTGGGTAACTGCATCTCCTTGGCTCTGCGTCCCGTGTACCGAGGTGTCGTGCTGGTGTGTATGATGGCAATGCTGTGGAATTAATGGATTAAACGAGATTTTTAAGAGAGAAAGGTGTTGCGTGGTTTCTGAGCTGCCACCCTGTCACAGGCAATATGTATTTTGTCGCCTATTTCTTTCTGGGTATCGGTCCCACTTTGTGAGTCTCCTGCATCCCTCTGGGTGGGTTTTTGGTTCCTCCTCCGCTTGTCCCCACCAAACATAAACCACCTCACGCGGGATGCCGAACTTTGCAGTGTTTTCCTTCTGCAGGCTGCCCGCAGCTCAGTGTGCAATGGGAAAAGTACCTCCCGAGAGTAGAAGTCACCAAAAATACCTGATGCAGTCAGCAAAAACACCTACCAGCCCTGCACGCGCCCGGGGCCATGGGACTGGGGGTCCCGCAAGCCCCACGCATCGCCCAGCCTGCCGCCCTCCGTGCACCACTGCACTGGGCTGTAGCTAATTCTGTATATCCACGGGGAATAGCTGCTCCTCACAGCACGGGATTTTTGGGAGCCCCATCCTTGGGGAAAATGTGGGGGGTTTGTTCTGCCTTGCTTTTTTTTTTTTTTTTTTTTTTTTTGACGGTTCTACCTAGAGCAGTATATGAAGCTATCAGCTATGGAAGAATCAAAACTAAACAATAACTTTTGTTAACTACTTTTCATACTAGCATTCTTTAATGCCTTTAGTCAGTTGGGACATTTCCACTATCAAGGTTTGGAAAGAGACTCACCCCTACAACTCTCTGGGGTCTACTCAGATCCTTCACTTTGGCTCTGGTCACAGTTCCTAACCAGACGAACTTTAACGTGGAAAATAAAATCCCCCTCCTCTTCAAAATTTATATTTCCTTTCTAGTTAAACACTATTCAGTTTGAGAAAACATGCAAATGACTAAAAAGCCAAAGAAAAGACAGGGGTATGTTGGACGGGCTGGGGCAGGCAAATGTCCACCAGCGTTAGCTGCCCCCGCGGTGATGCTGCCTCCAGAGATCAGTGGGCCTCCAGCAAACACATATATAATCCATAGCATGGGGGGGGGTGGGAAATAAAAGGCGGCTGCAGAGCTGTGATAAATGACTGCAAATGTGCGTTGTCTCCCCTGGCTGGCATCGCCGGCTGGGGCCGAGGGAGCAGGGGGCAATGCGTGTGTGAAATCTGTAGCAGGGGTCTGGGCAGGGCCGCCGAAACGGCGGGGGGGGGCGCCGCGCGGACCGCACC